TATTTTATAAATTTGTTTTTATATAATTTATAATATATATATATATATATATATTTTATAATTTTGTATCTAAATAATAAATACCACATGATACCTATTCATCATAGGCGTAAATCGCAGGGTGGCTAAGGGTGCTTATTTTCTAATCCAAATTTTATATTAATAATAATATTTGTTCATGATTACTAATTTGTAGTGGGTATTAAAACTGATAATTGGTGGTTTTTGATCTTATTTTTGTTTTATACTTTTTATACAAAATATTAAGGATAATATAAATATATATTATCTACTAGAATTCATGGATCATACGAAGCATTAAAAGGAGGTAGCACATGTGAGGCTATGGAGGATTTCACTGGTGGTGTATCAGAAATGTATGAATTAAATGAAGCTCCACCCAATTTGTTCATGATTATGTTAAAAGCTTTTCAACGTCAATCACTAATGGGATGTTCTATTGAGGTAAAATAAAAAAATTATATGTATTGGATTTAATAAAAGTTTGAATAAAACTAATTTTTATATATAATAATATATAGTTTTACTCCATAATCTAAAAAGAGTGTGGATCGAGAGGTAATACAACTTATAGATCATATGTTTACTCTCYCAAAGTCTCAAGTTTCACATAATTATGTAAAATATTATGTATAGTTAAACAAAAATAATTTTTCATTTTTATGTAATTTTAATAGATAGAACATTTGAATTATGAAYAAATAATAAACAATTAATTTTTAATTTGTTATTTTTAAGGCTGACCCAAGCGTAACTGAGATGGAAACCCCACAAGGATTGGTTAAAGGTCATGCGTACAGTATAACTAGGGTAACATATGTTGATATTACAACTCCAAATACTACTGGTAAAATACCTCTGCTCAGACTTCGAAATCCATGGGGCAATGAAGCAGAATGGAATGGCCCGTGGAGTGATAAGTAAGCATTATTTAATGTTTTAAGTTGTTGTGTTATAATATTATTAAATAAATAGATCATAAGTGTTATTATTCCTAATACTTATTGATAAAAATTCTAAATCTYTTTTATAGATCAGCTGAGTGGAGGTTTATATCTGAGTCTGACAAACAATCATTAGGTTTGATATTTGATGCTGATGGTGAGTTTTGGATGTCATACAAAGATTTTGTCAAATTTTTCTCTCGRTTGGAAATCTGCAATTTGAATCCTGATTTGCTAACCAAAGAACAACTTGGTGAAGACTCCAATAAAAGATGGGAAACGAGTGTGTTTGAAGGTGAATGGGTCCGAGGTGCTACTGCTGGTGGATGTCGTAATTTTCTAGGTATAGYTTTTGAAACTACTATCAACATTTATTATAATATAACAATMATTTATATTTTTTGCTCTGTATTTAGAAACATTTGCAAGTAACCCACAGTATCGTATTACATTAGAAGATCCTGATGAAGAGGATGAAGAGCGTAAGTGTACCGTAATCATTGCTTTGATGCAAAAAAATAGACGTGCCCAACGAAAGATAGGAGCTGAATGCTTAACAATTGGATTTGCTGTATATCAGGTATCAAGAAAAAAAACATAAATGTTAATTTAAAAATATTTATTTACAATTTTAAAAATGMAATAAGTATGCAGCTTATTTATTTGAATAATATAGGAATAAAATAACATTTGTTTTAGCTCATCAACCCAGACTCTTTACCAAAACCACTTGACACAAATTTTTTTAAGTATAATGCGTCTATTGCAAGAAGCCCTACTTTTATTAACTTACGAGAAATCAGTAGTCGATTCAGTCTACCACCTGGTACATATTGTATTGTGCCTTCTACTTTTGACCCAAATGACCAAGGTGAATTTTTACTTAGAGTATTCTCAGAGCATGAAAATAACATGGCGTAAGTGATAATTATTATTAGCTCTTCAAATTTATTGTTATTCTAATCGAAAATCTTTTATAGGGAGCTGGATGATGAAGTAGGAATGGGTGAAGTCGATGTGAAGGTAGTACTAATATGCTATATGTATTATTTTTTTTTTTTTGTATTAGAAATAATTAACTTTAATTACACGAGTATGCATTTTTTTTTAGATTAAAGAACAAGAGCCTGAGCCTGATAAAGTTGATAAAGCTAATGAGAAAATTAAAGAATTCTTCCTTAAATTGGCTGGTGCTGACCAAGAAGTCGATTGGATGGAACTTAAAGATATTTTGGATTATGCTATGAGAAACGGTAAGTTAAAAATTTATAAACAAGTGAACATTGTACATATTCAAAATAAAATATTTTACTACAATACATATTTTTGATTTGCATATTATACATTATTCAAAATGTATTATTATATAAAAACATAACTATGGTAAATTAATACTGAAGTATAAGATTAGCTACAAAAACATAACCTAGTTTGTTTTCTAATTAAATAATATATCGTACGTCATGAAAGGATGCCACACATTGAATTTATTGCTATCTTCTATATTTGCATGATATATTTTTAAAGTTAGATTGATTATGACTTTTCTATTATTGTTATTGTTATTATTATTATTTTTAGTTAATCAATGAAATAAATAATCTTAAATTCTTAAGTGTTTGCTTTCAAATGAGTACTTGCCACTTGGTATCTGGTAAATTTTATAATTTGTATGATACAAATTATGTTGGGTATATATTGTTTTCATTAAATTCTCATACCAAAATTTATACAATGAATCAGCGTGTGGCAGACCTCTAAATAATAAATTCAAAGTTTGATTTGTGAATATTAATTTAACATTAAATCACACCCTTAACCAGTGACAATGTGTTTTGTTAAGCTTTTAGATAATTTGAACAATCTTTTAAAATATTTGTATATTTAATTTTTCTAACAAGCCAACTGTTTTCATAATCACATTTGTCTATTATTTTTAAGACAATTTTATATGTAAAAATTTGATTACCTATTGCAATTCTGTGCTTGACTTGGTATACCGATTTATAAATATAAACTATATACATACAACTGAAAAATTGTAAGAATTTAAGAGTTAAGACATACTTTTGTGCCCCTCAAATTATATAGGTATGTTAATGATTGATTAAAGAACAAATTAGTATGAACAATTTTTATTCATAWTAATTTACATTTGTAAATAATAAAGTTATTGCTTGTATGCATGAGTTTGAACCTAAACTAACATAGTTGCCCATTTGATTATACCGTTTGTAGATGTGGCAAGTAATACAACTGCTGGAGATAATCTCCTTGTCAACTTACTTCAGACATTCTGTGAGTCTTTCTGTCAGGGATCGCCTTTAGCCTCTACATTCAGTAAGTATTTTTTTTTTTTTTAAATTAGCAGCTATTTAATTAAATTCTGGTGGTGTTGGTAATTTCTTGCTTGTTTAAATTAAATATAACATTGTACTAAAAATTAATATTTTCAGAAATGGAAAAAGCAGGATTCTCTAAAGATGTATGTCGTAGCATGATTGCTATGATGGATTGGGATCGATCGGGTAAACTTGGTTTTGAAGAATTCAAAAGTCTGTGGATTGATATTAGACAGTGGAAGGTAATAACTCTTAACTAATTAGTGAATATAATATCTTGGAATTTTAATTGACATTTGAGCATAAAAATATTTAAAAATATATATATGTTGTGATTTAGACTGTCTTTAAAATGTACGATAAAGAGAGCAAGGGTTTCAT